GTAATTTGTTCCCAATTTTCTTTACACGAGCATTTTCAAAATTTCAAAATCCAAAAATTAAAAAGTTCTCAAAGTTCAAAAATTAAAAAATTTGGATTTTAAAAATTTTTAAAAAAAATTGGAAAACAATTTCCACAAGCATTTTTGGATTTATAAGTCCAAAAATTAAAAAAAATTGGATTTCAAAATCCACAAAATGCTCATAGCCCTACTTCTACAGAAAATTTGTGAAGAATAGGGGCAGATGAATTTTTGGATTTTGAAGATCTGAAAATTATAATATAATTTTTAGAATAAAAATTTCAAAAAAAAAAAGAAGACAATTCCAAAACAAAACAAAAAAAAAAGAAAATATTGGGTATGAATATAGGTTTTGAACTGTGGAGGGGAATTTTATAATAACAAAAATTACAAGTCACGTACGTAATTTACCCATTTTTTTAATATCCAATATTTTACCCTTTTTTGAGCCCTGTGATTGCCCGTCTTTTTGTTCCCCCATGTTTTGGAAGGCATGGTGTAGTATTCACATGATGTGGAAGTTTGAAGTGTGCACAAGCACTTTCAAAGGCTCAAATTGAGCAATTGGTTTATCTAGGGCTACAAATTGATTTAATATCTTTATATTCAAATGTCGGCTTATCTAGGGCTACAAATTGATTTAATTTCTTTATATTCAAATGTCATTTATATGAAATTGGGGCTTTCATATATCTAAAAAGATGCACCCATTTAAAATAAAAAATAAAAGTATTATCATTCAAGCCTTATCTCAACTCTCAACTCTCAACTCTTTAAGCTTATCACAAAATAAAATATAAAAAAATTTAATAAAATTTTATTAAAATACCCCTATAATATAATATTTAAGAGTACTTTGTTTTCATTTAAAATATATTTCTAGAGCTGTGCCCTATATAAATGTATGTATGGCCCAATTTTTAGGTAAATATAATTGATACAAAATATAAAAACAAAAAGCTAAATCAATTTGTGGTCCTCGATTCTTCTCTAATTAAATCTTAGCCATTGAAAAGGAACTTGCCCTCTAGCATGTACTTTTCCTTTCTTGGACTTTCGATACATAGACACACGTGCCTGAGGTTCTGACCATGTGTGGACTGTGGGTGAACACAGATAGGCATGCAACACTTTTAGAAACACATCCAACACTTCTATGGAGTGTCTAATGGGCTATCCTTTTTGTTTTTTTTGGATATGTTTTTTTTTTTGGAATTTGGTCTTTTTTTGTTTAGAAATTCTATTTTTCAACAAATATTATTTTATTTTAAAAGTAAAAATATTTAGAATAAGAAAGGTATTTTTAATTTTTTTTAAAAAAGAATAATTTTATTTTCTATTGAGAGTGTGAGTGGTGCGATCATACGATTTTGGATTGATACATTAAGACCCTATTCAATAACCATGCAATAAGGTTTGTACATTTGAATTAAAGCTAATAGTTTTTAGCTTTTTTGTGGTGTTATGATACAACCTTGAATTGGACTATTAATAAAAAGCGATGAATAAAATTCTTATTCACAAAATAACATTTTTCAACTTAATTGAATTGTTTTTCTTTTTATGGTGCTTTACTATTATTATGATGACTTGTATTATTGAATATAAATGCATATGTGAACCATATATATATATGTATATATATATATATATATATATATGGGTTTGTCTAGAGTTTACAACTTTTCAAAATACAAAGGTTAAAGATAGAAAGGGTTGTGATACGTGTATTTATAAAAAAGATCATTATTTTTTATTTAAAGAATTATTTTAATAGGTAACTTAACTATTAAGTAATGATAAACTTGAAATTTTTACAAAAGTACAATGGTGTATATATATAGGATTTTTTATACTTAACAACCCTCAAAAGAACAAAAGTTCTAATATGAACGTGTGAATGTTTATTTTACCATTAGTGCGCTTGTAGAACCATAGTGTAAATTAAAATAAAAAACGATATAATTTTTTTGACAAGAAGATAAAAAATAATAGCTCTTCTCTCGTGGACACATATCTTCCCTCTTAAAGTAAAAAAAACTATTTTCCTTCTCCCTCATCCAATCATCCCGTTCTCTCTCTCTAATATCAATAAAGAGAACAACACTCTTATGTCTCCTCATGCGAGAAAAAATCCTCTTACCATTTCTCACGAACAGGATGCTCATTCATTCTAGCTATGCCTCTCTCTCTTTTATATATATATATATACCACCATATATCGTACTACATAACGTGTCATATGTTATTTTTTAGGGTTCATGTTTTTGACACTCATTTCTGTATCACAAATAGATGCACATATCTGTTTCTATTCAACAACATGAAGGAGCAACAGCCAGTAATGTGCCTTTGAATTATCGGCATCTTAGACGATGAAACCATCTCAAGGTTCAAAGAACATCACAGAGGCCGTTATGAAGTTCAAAGGTTCAAGAAACTGGCACCCATGTTGACTAGGTTCTTACACATACATAACAGCCGTTATAACGGCATGGCAAATACAGCATCCATTCATGAAACGTGTGTTTGGATGGACCATTGATGGGAATTGTACTATTTTCTTTCTCCCCTTGTGCTGAAACACCACTGCAACTCATTTGCTCCCATTTGTGCATTCCCACTTGTGTCGAAACCGTTCCTTGTAGTGACCATCCGAAAATACGCAGAAAAAAGATATCCAAATTTCCTCTAGTTCTAGATCATGGTAAGAAGATATATAGGAATCCAAATCTGCCGAATCACTCATCCTACGATTTTCTACATCCTAGGTCTACTCATTTTGTCATCCGGGTTATGTTATTCATGTAGCACTCAGCCCAAATGACTCTATGAAATTACATTGACACTTCCATCTATTACAGATAATCAGGATGGGTGATCTGGAACAATGATCTATTTTTTAAAACCTTGGTCCAAACCAGTGTCCACAAAATCGAACTAGAAAGGTTAACCGAACATGGGCATGAAAGCAGTTTAACCAACCTAACCGATAAACCGGTCGATTCAACTGCTCTAACCAGCATCCTGGGAGGAGTCGTATGAGGCAGAAGCTCCATTTACGGTTTTGAAGCCGAGTCATTCCAGCAATGGGGCCTAGGAACCGATATGATGATTGGTTTAGGTAGGGCGGCCGGTCTACTACGGGGCACTTGTAGGGATTAGTGCGTGAGACCGCGATCCACAAACTGGCACATGGGACTCACCTGGGGGGAAACATAGCATGTCACAAGAGCAAGGCGAGGGGGAGATTCCCTACTGCGAGGGGCACGCCTCGCGATTCAACCGCTCTAACCAGGCAAGTCCCAGGTGGTCAAAAAAGTGTTGAAAAAAATAAAAAAATAATAATAAAAAAAATCTACTAAAATATGAAAAACATATAAAGAATAATTAAAACAAAACACATTCAAATGAAGTTGAAAATTAATGAAAAAAATGGATTTTAACCCATTTTATATTTTCCAAAAGCTATTTTTAAAATTTTCTAAAAAAAATGGGAAAATATAAAAGTGAGTATTAATGACCAAAACAATTTTTAATCTTTACCATAATGTAAAAAATATTTAAAAATTCATTACAAATCAAATTCCCTATTTTTGAGAATTTATATATAATTCTTTTTTCTTTTTTTTTAAATAACGATTGATCACCCTAACCGCTCAAAACCGGAACTGGCCACTAGCCGGTTCCGATCTAACCGGGCGGTTAAACGTTAGATCGGACGATTTTACGAACAATGGTCCAAACTTCTTTATCCTATTAAAGAATAACAATATATAACAGACATTGTTTTAAAGATAAATGATATGATAGTTGTAACATAATTTTCAAATATAACACTTCCCTTTCTTTCACAATGGTCCAAACTTCTTTATCCTATTAAAGAATAACAATATATAACAGACATTGTTTTAAAGATAAATGATATGATAGTTGTAACATAATTTTCAAATATAACACTTCCCTTTCTTTCACTACTTTCGATATCGAATATAACCCACCAAGTTTTTTTGAGATTATATATAATGAGACAATTTGTTTTTGTTACAAGAAGATTACAATTACTTATAACCATCCAATGTAAAATGTGAAATACATTACAAAATTCAAAAAAATTTCTTTTGAACTTTGACTTTGGTCAATGGAATAAATGTAACGACCTTATTTCACATTAAGTGGTGAAGGTAAATGGTCTCACTGTACACTTTTCAATTTTCTTTGATAACTGACATATCATGTCATTGCAGTTTTATTTTAAAATATTTTCCAATATTTTACTGTCACCTGCTACTTTACTTGATAAGCTTTTATAAAGCCAATCGATCAAGGATTGTGACATTTTTAGGACAATGAAAGCATAAAGCATCCAACAATCATGCTTGGGCTTGACTAATTAGCGGTTAACGATGCCAATGCTACACGTCAATTTCTTCCACTTAGCTACCTAGATAAAAAAGAAACTTTAAAACATCTACCTAGTTCTAGAAAACCTAGGGCACTTCCCTAGTTTGGGGCATCCAAAACAATGGGACCCTACATTTGATCCGAACTAGAGGATCGCTAGTTTTTTAACCCATAACCTCTTTTTTTGTTTTTTTATATGTTAACAATGGAATTGGAAGGCCCAAATAATTGGAAAAAAAAACTCTGATGATGATGATGAAAAACAATGGGATAGGAAAGCGCATCCGTGCAATTGACCACCCCTGCCCCACCAACATTCTCTTATTGGTTTCCATGCATTGTGGCATTTTCGAGATTGTGCATGCCATATCCCTGCTACACATCGAAACAATCCACTGATTTCAAATCATATTTAGCTGTGCAAAGTAACAACCAACCCTTTCCTCCTAAAACAGATGGAAAACTAATACCCCGATTCCAATACCCACCGATTCAATCAAACCAAATCAGGTTAAAACTGGCAAGAAAAAGAGAAATATCTTAGGAAGAGGAACAAAGACACTGTTCTCCAAGCAGAATAACAAAGAAAGCAGATTTTCATTGCCATTGAAAGCCTCACAGCAGGTGACAAATGACACCCAGTCTGCAAAACTCTTGTTTGCAATTTGCATTTCTCAATAAATAGAGGAGGGAAACAAATAAAAAAAAAATTACATCTGACGGCAGGACCAGCACTGACAAGAGAGGGGGCGTGAGAGGTCATTCGGGTGCGGAGGCAGTTGGGGTGGTGTGGTCTCCTCTGGTTACACGAGTGTTGTAAGATTTGCAGCTGAGGCATTTCTGAGCCACGATATGGAACTGAACTTGGGATGTTTCCCCACAGTCATTGCAGAGTATCCATACCTACAACAAATTCCACATAAATCAGACCCATTTTCAAGAGAGAGAGAGACTACCAAACACATCCAAGATGTATATTTTTATGCATGCCCCGAGGACGGGTATGGGCAGAGGACAGTAGCTAACTAGTATGCTTCACACTTAATCGAAGACATGTTTTTGGCCAAGTACACAGAGGAGAGAGAGAGAGAGAGACTAACCATTTTGTTTTGATAAGATTCAGGCATGGGTGTTGCAGCAATCTCCATATCAAGCTTCTCCCAAACTTTGGACATATCACATACAGACTTTGAGCAGAGTGGGCAAAAGAACCTAAAAACCAGTGGAACATTTTGATCAGAATGAACCTTGTTGAGAGAGGGGGGGAGAGAGAGGGAGAGAGAGACTCACTGCAAATGATCTCTCATTTCTTTCAAGCAATCCACGTGAATGGTATGCCCACATGGCAGGACAGTGATGTCATTTGTAGATTCGAATAGATACTGCAAATTGCAACATCCCAAACAAAGTCTTAATCGCAAATAAATATTATCAAACTAAAATAAACAATATGAAAAACATATCATTCTATTTTCATTGCACAAAGAAAGAATTATGAATTAAAATCGTCTTAAGTTATGGTAATGGTCTTTGACTTTGAAATTTCAACAAGAAAATGAAAACTCCTACTTCAAAGCAAACGGGGCAATCGTGATGCATTGCCCTCTCCACACAGGGATGGTAGGTCTTCAACATGACAGAGTAGCAGCAACCTTCACATTCAAACCGAAAAAAGAATATTACTACGAGGTATACATGTGAATCTTCAAGCAACCAAGAAAAAAGAAAACTAACAAAACAGTTATCCATAAGATAATAGAAATGACCAGACTTTTGCATAGGTTGTCCTTGTTATAGAGAGAGAGAGAGAGAGAGAGTACAAATATCTTTCCAATAAGCATACTAAAATGCTCAAGAAACACACAAAATACAGACATAAGGCAAACAAAAATTGGATGAATATAAAAACGTAAGGACTTACCACATTTGTAGCAGTGGAAGAAATTATCACGCCCACCCGTTCTGCAACCAAACAAAATTACCAAATATAGTAGTGTGAAACCCCATAACCAAGTAAGCACCTATTTTCTCACTGAAATAAAAAGACCCATTTTCTAGACCGATGCACGATCCCTGAAATGATAATTAGAATTAAACAGGGGTCATCAGTTCACAACGAACCTGCAAATTCCACAACCATTACAGTGATACTGGTTCTTAGATAACTGCAACATTCACAACCATAAAAAGTCAGGCAGCTTGAAAAGAAAACGTCAGGAATCGTCCATGAAGAAATAGTCAATCAGGGAAGAAAGGGAAAGACAATTCATGTATACGATCCAATAGACTATGGAAAACTACGGTTTGTAGATAATAGTCCCTCGGTAGATTGATGGTGATGGGACAGTATAACCCACCAGAACAGGACATTGAAAGTATGTATGGACTGACCTATTGAAATCCATATATCATTGAGGTCCGAACCATTAAATGACACGTGCAGTTATTGGAGATGGGTTGCGACCCCAAAATGGAAAACCCAAAAGGGGGAAATATTAGTTCTCCATCCTGTTCATTTCATTTAATTTGAACACCCCGAATGGACTATAGTTTTGGATTTACAATTCTTTTCACTCACATCATCATCAAAGAGTTTGCAGGTCTCACAGAAGTATTTTCCCATGCAAACTCCACAGTTAATACAAACTTGCCGGACCTGGAGTCACGGAAAACGAAATCCATAAGTACACTTTCAATGGTCAATCATCATTGAATTATTTTCAAATGCTCATTTCTGATACTTACATCTTGTTCAGTGTTGCATAAGGAACAGATGACCTGAAAAACAGTAAATCAGATTCAGTAAAGGGGGGAAAAACATAAATATCAATAGACAACCCTCCTGCATAAAGTTGTGTTGATGTGTCAAAAACTTAGAATCTCAAAATAGTACTTCAATCGGTACACTGGTATTTTCGCCCTTGAGTGTATTTTAAATATCACAGGAATAATCAAATGTGTGCTCAACCGACCAACCAGAAAGGCCTGGCGTAGGGGACAGAGAAACTGACCAGTTTGTACACCATTTTGAAAGTTTTAAGTTCCTGGAGAACCTGCACAACTTATGCAGATACTTAGGTGCTGCTTTTGCATTTACCAAAGCAAAAGAAAAGAAGAAAGAGGGAGGGTAGGGGGGGGGTTGGGGTTTGGGGAGTGTATCAATAAAGAAACGACCAGGTTAGTGACGCAAATGTGTGATAACCTTTCAGGAAACACTTGGAAATACCATGAACTTCAAAACACGTATGCAAATGTTCCGCAGTTTAAAAACTGTGAACAGGATACTCAACTCATATCCATTGTCAAAACAACTTAAATCCATTGTCAAGGGATCAGAGACATTTTGCATTATCACTATCCAAGGAAATACTGGCTCATGATGGACAGCCTAGGGTGTTTACCCTAAGATTCCAAGTCACTCACCTTTCGCACTTGATGACGAGGAAGGTCATGCCTCTGCATTTTTTCAACATCAATGGAATTCTGCACACAAAAACAGGAGTTAAAAATGTTAAATTTCACTTGACCAGCTATACAGAGTAGGCTGAATATTCCTTTTTTAATACCTTAACTACTTTATTGTGGTTTTATAGCATGATTCACAGAACAGTGTGCCACATGTCATTTCTACCACCTATACTCAACAATGGGCAGTGGAGATGAGCCATTCTTTTACTTGAGGAAGCAATGGCAGACCTGACAAGAAAAATGGCTCATATTCACTGTCCATTGTTGATCACTGAAAGTAGAGACTAATGTAACCTTCCGTTGACATGGTACATGTATGATGTATCATAGCATACTTAACCCAAAAAACATACTGATATATATTCTATTTAAGGAAATACAAAACAAGTACCAAATATACAGATGCTCACCATTGCCTCATTATGGCAATGCCTGCAATCAAAAATCTTGTTACAACATGGAGCTCTAATACGACACCTCCGCCGGTAATGTGAACATCTGTCTTACAGAAAATGTTATTAGTCAATAAAAAGAACCGAATACATTCTAAAAGCCCACATGCTATATCACCTATAGTGTGCATCAGAAATGTAATTCCAGTCCCAGAAGAACATGGGATACATAATATCCTAATATACAGCGTAGGCTCAACTCTTAGACAATCAACAAAGTAAACCCTTATTATAGGGATGAATAGGAAATTTATCAGAGAAACAGGAGGCAAAAAGAATGTACCCATATTGCATGAATCCCCGCTCAGGTATATCGGAGTCGTTGATGAACCCATATTGCGTGAATCCCCGCTCAAGTATATCAACGTACTGGATGTTTGCGTCTTCCTCCCTTGTTTGAAGAGTAGCAATACGTTCTGCCCTGGATTCTTTAGTACATGTGCTGCTATTGTTTCCTTGCATCACTTCACAAGTTGCCTCATGTTTCCAAGACTCATCATGTCCAAGGGGTACCGAAAATTTCCCGACAGTCTCCATTTTCAATACGTTGAGCACTTTCAATGAAAGTTACTAGACAAATATGGCCACGTAAAGTATTAAGCAACACCTGAGAAAGGCACAACATCAGTTTTCCAGTTCCAAAGACATAAAACATGTAGTCAACACCTGAGCAACCCATGCAAACACCCAAAGTGCTGCCTCTCGAGTATTGGTGAAGATCAATTCAAATCAGCAAGCATACAATCCAAGCAAGGCTGAACAGCTCCATTCAGCAAAACTCCAAAGAAGAATTCATCAGAATAAGCAGAGCTATAATAACCCCCATCATAGACATGATGAGGTATTGAGAGTTCTTGAATCTCCAGTTGTCACAAGCAATGAATTTTTGCAGCATGATCAGCTGATCACTTGTTAAAAGCAGCAACAGAATCGCCTCATTTCTGGTAAAAGGCAGTACATCACAACATCAAGCACATGAAAAGAGGAAAAGCACACGCAAACTAAAAAACACTTATAAATAAGAGCTCGGGGAGCTTCCATTGAACACCAGCAAGGTGCTCATGGGCCACCATCCATACCTTAACACCATGCTTGAAACGTTGTTCGTGATCCTCGAAAATAAAGCTATGCAGTATGGAACTTCCAGTCCTTGTCGATATACTGGAAGTCTGTGCATGTGCTAAATCTCTCTTCTTTTTTCTTTTTTTTTTCTTTTTTTACCTGAATAGCTTAGAAAGCAATTCACCAATTGCCAGGATGAATCCTGCAGTAATTTTTTTGCTTTTTGACCAAACATCTGCACCTTGGATTCCAGTAACTTAAGACCATAATTGGTCATTCTTACTCCGGGGTCATCTAGCTTTTTGCTTATTGCTCAAGAGACTAGAGGTTGCTCATGTCAGTCGAATAACTCAAGAGTCTAGCAACCCAATAATGGTATGTATCTTGCTCATCAATTAAAGCAGTCATTTGTTTAAGGGCGACAAAGAATAGAGAGATAGGTGCTAAGTTTGTGAATTAATGAACATGACTTTCTTTAACTGAGATTTTCGATTGTCATGTGTTTCAGTACAATCAGCCCACTCATCAAATTAAATAGCACACATGTCAAAGTTCCTGTATTCAAGATGGCAAAGTATTTTGTGAACATGACCGAAAAACCTAACATTTTCAAGAGATTGTAAGCCTCCTCAACCACAAATGACAAAACAAGAACGTGTCACGATTTCCTCTCGCAATCAGTATACTCATGTACATCAAAGTTGTAACAACTATGACTCCCTCCTTTAGTGTCTAAAAGGAAAGATGGGATTTACATTCTTGAACAAAGTTAAGCGACTGCAAGAGTCAGTAGCCATCAAATTTTGAACAATATTTATCTCATCTAGACTTAATTTCACCAACATAAGAAAATTTATAAAGTATCCCAGTTTCTAATCCAAAAAAATGACAGTTTAATAATCCAAACAATGTTAAGCTATATTATTACAGGGAACCTTCTCATTTCTAAACCAAATATAGGGGGTACAAGATCATATCTCTCATAAATAAAGTAGTTCATAAGTTCTGCCTGTTTTGTCCTTAACAAGGTTTGTAACAGCTTCCTATAATTAATTGATTTTAAAAATACTCAACAGCCTATTCTTACATACATTTTCAAAACACTTGGCCATGAATCACTTGCCACTTCACATTAGTCCACATCAAATTTTACTCCAACAGTAATGGAATAACATAGTAACCAGGAAGCATAGTCACACAAGCAATCACAACTCTGAACCATACATCAATGAATAAATAGACCACAGAGTTTTTTCTGCTTCTCTCAAATAATGCCAGGAAAAAGGCAACACCATGCAACTCAGAACTCTCTCCAATATTCTCTTGTGAAGTAAGATGTCATTAAAAGCACAAGTTTTAAAAAGGAAACAAGCCAAGAATGAGTCCCAATGATCACCATATGACTAATAGCACCCCAGTTTAAATTAGCCCCCCTAGACAAATGATGAAAGGTAAATCTGTTAGCTTCAAAACTCTCACAAGTCTCCATGATCTTACAAAGCCTCTTGGCACACGGCAAATCTCGCTAAACCACCCTTTTACATTGAAAATGTAGTCCCATTGGGTGACTTGAGGCCCCGTTTCTAACCTCACAAAAACCTCAAGCCTGTCCCATCAGCAAGGAATGAAAATCTGCTCCAGTGAAAGTGTTGTCTTTGTACGGTCTCCCAAATATGCTATATCATACCAATCTTATCTAAACCTTTTTAAACCCACCCAAAACCAGGTCAAACTTCAACCTACCATAAATGTGAAATTAGCTTCAGGGTAAACTGCTTCTCTCACCCTTCAAGCTTCAACAGACTTCTCATCCCTACACTACCCACCACTTCCAAATCTCTGGAGATTGTAAACTGTGATCTCATAAATATTTCACCTTGAAACTATTTACTGAATTTTGACCATTACCAGGGAAATCTAGACTAAGCATGTACAGTCCGCAGCAGCTGACCTCCTGTAACATTTCTTGTTAAAAACCCAAGTAATCAAGTTTCATTATATCTCTCTTGTCATTCTCACCATACGCAGCATGGACCAAATCCCAAAGCAATGAATTTCATGTAACACCCCATAAGTGAAACAGAAAGACAGAGAGCAAATCAGACTCACCTGAACCTCAGAGCTGAGGTAAGCTCAAACGCTCAACATGAAATCAACAAATAACCGGTCATATCCACTGCAGAACTTCATAAAAACTATGGATCAGGAATAAGATGAACCAACAGTGCAAAGGGTTCCCACTGAATCTTGTCTCTAGCAAACGAAGCTTTGAAAAGCATCAATCTCCACCATTGCATTTAAATTTACTGTACTGTTATCCAGTAATCCTATTACCATCATCTGCTCATGTCTAAAAGCAACCATCTCCTCCACAGAGAGCAGCCATCTCCACACGAGAAAGCCAACCATCAGATAATCTTAGGATCAGTTTGGACATACCAGTTATTCATGAATGAGTCCCATCTTCAAGTCCCATCATTGATGAATAGTAACAAGCACCATTTGATGCTGTCTAGCTATTTATCAGTACGTCCCGTTGCTCTTCACTAGATAGGAGAATCCCTTTCCCCTGACCATTCAAAACAAGTTCAACCCACATTCATGAGTTTCCCGTTCATGAATACAGTTACAAAGAGCATGCAAACTGGCCTCAACATCTCACCCTCACAAAGACTTTTAAGGACTCCCATTCACCATGAATCATTGTGTTTCCTGTCCACGGAACCACTTTATTTAATAGTAATCCCTCCCACAGATACTCAACTAATGTGATATCTCCATTCAAGCACCAACCCAATCCAACCCACACACCTGAGTTATTCCAATACAGCCATGACAGCCACTCTGCCTAAGAAGTGCTACAAATGGTACCACATAATTTTTAGTTCGCAGATCCTCAAATGTTGAGCACAATTTCACATGTTGGAAACAGCCAACGAAATTGGTGCTATCATGAAAATAACTTCCTGGGTAGAAAAACCCATGCCTTCACACTGTTACGAGTTATGTAGCTTCGAATTATATTCTCCTAAAGAGAAACATACCTATAGCAAATAATCCTAGTATTTTATCGATTTCCATGACCCCAAAACCATTGAAACGTACAATTTTCAGCACACACAATTTACGTGCCAGTGCAAACAGCAATCAAGCCTTCAAACCAGTATTAAACATGAAAAGAATAGTAGCGTGAACTGTAAAGCATTAAATTCATCACAATTGATACATAACTAATGAAGTTCCAAATTTTCCTATCAGAGCACATAACCAAGCACAAAAAGGTCTATGATTTATTCAAATATCCAAGCATTAAAAGATCTATGATTTAGTCTACGTCATGCACACAGAAGTTCAAGTATCAAGGCAATTATTAAGAGAAAAGCATTCACCACCAATAAAACAAAAATAAATTAGCCAAAACTTCTGGAAAATTTTCCTCAATAAAAACTTCTGGAAAATCAAATAAGACATAAAAAGTATAAATGGAATCAGAACCCGAAAGATTCTCTCTTATCAACAAAATAATCGTTTATCCATATTTTATATCCAGTACTACAATAAGTTTATCTTTTCCTCGATGTGACATCGAAAATGGGCCAAAGTTACATTTCTCCCTAAAATGCACCATATTATAACTCAAGAAACCTACTTAATGTTATATTTTCTGTGAAACAAAACCCTGAATTCATGAAAATAAATTCTAATATTATACTTAAAATTAATCCTAATCAAGCCCTAACGAACACAGAGACTTCAAAAAATCACAAAAAACAATTATAGAAGTATTAAAAACCATGATTTAAGCGTTCATTTCACAAAAAAATCCGCTCTAGTAAATTTCTGGTTCTTCGTATATCATAAAGAGAAAAAAACAACAAAAAGAGAAAAAAACCAGGGAGAAAGAGAAACAAACAACAAAAAGAGAAAAAAAAACTGAGTACAAATTTAAAATAATAATAATAATAATACCTAAACGAGAGAGTTGCCAATACTAAGATTCATGAAAACCAGGGAGAAAGGGAACAGCAAGAAACCCTATAAAAGCAAAAAATACGTATAATAAAAACGAACTTCGTTCTGGCGTGATGAATCCCAAAACAGAGCTTCTCTAAGTTGCAAATGTCCTCTCGATTTCGCCTGCTTCTTCTCTCTGCAGAAATGGTGGCCAAATGTTTAAAAGGATTTTGGAGAGAGAAACTTCAGAGGGTTTTTAGAGGGAGAAGGTTTAGAGAGAGAAAGAGGTTCCATATGGTTCTTAGAGAGAGGAAGAAGGAAGGTAGAGAGAGAGAGAAAGAGTGAAACGCGGGCGGCGATTTATACGCGGAACCGATTGGAAGAAAGAACCAATGACAACTGTAAAAATATCTAAGATATTTTGTAAGTAGCCATCATAAAGGCGAAAATATCGAAAATGGTACTCCCTTCTCGGAATACCACATGTGCCCCAACATCTAAGCAACGTGATTGGTGGGTATACATCGCGTATACATTTACCATTATACACTACATTCAATACCATGCTTATAACCATCTGATTTGAAATTTGATGGGTACGAGTGATCGTGATCTTTTTTATTAAATTACTTTTTTTATATATTTTTACATTTATTTTTTTCTTTAATTATAAAATTTTAAATTTCAAAAATAATTCAAATCAATTAAATATGTAAATACATAAAAATCTTGAAAATAGATAGTCCAGAGAATTTGTTGCATGATGTACTGTCATTTGTAGGACTTGAAATCTCTTTTTTTCTTCCATATCAAAAATATCGATGTTGAGATGATCAATTAAATGCTTTCAATATCAAAAAATACTTTTTTTTAAAAAGATTTTAGAGATACACTTTAATTCTACATTTTAAAAGTGCCAACTACATTTTATTTATTTTTTAATATTAACTTAAGAAACTTGTGAAAATGGAATTCTACATGTCAACCACCCTAACCACATCGGCTCAGAGGTCATTCTCGGTATTGATATCATATTCTCATACAAATTATTGATTTCATGAATTTTAGTGTAAGCTTAAAAACTTTTCTCGTCTTTAGACTTTTGCACGTTTGGTTCATGTGAAAATATTGTTTCAAAAAATATTTTCATGCGAAAAAAATTTCTCATGCAGTCGAGTATGGAAATATTTTCATACTAGTTGGTCTTAGTGCATATTTTCACATCAATTGGCAACTAATTGGTGTAATAGTATTTCCGTACTTGGCCGTATGAGATAATTTTTTCATGTAAAAATATTTTCTAGACAACATTTTCACAAGAACCAAACAATTAAATCATTGTTTTATGTGTTTCCTCCTTCTATCTTGTTGCAATAGAATTCTCAAATGCTTACTTCTTTTTTTCTACATTTTATCCACAAGGTGATAGTGAGACAAAAATTAGAACACTTTTTAAAGGAGCTCAGCACGAGAATGGGCCAGGCTAGGGCCAAGCCAAAGACAAATAAAGGGAAAAAAGAGAGGGATAGGGCTGAGCTGAATTGGGCCGACACTGGCCCAAGCCCAGCCTTCAGGCCACAGTTTGTGGCCTAGACTTTTTTTTTTTTGGGCCGGGCCACCCAGCCCATTGCCAGTCCCCCTATCTCCCTATCTCTCTAAAACGCGTAAACATGCATGATGATGAGCACCGTTCTAGGTCAAAGATTCAAGCACAACATCTCTTAAATTTTCATTGAAGTGAAACCTCACACCATTAGAGCCACATGAAAATGAAAAGCAAAAGATGCCTGATGCTTCAAAATCTTTGCTTGATATTGAAATGTGATCATTCAAAAAGAAATTGACAGCTATTATTAATATAGACGTTGATCTCATCTTCTTTACTCATGTCTCGTGAATCTAGTAAAGTGGAATGTCTATATGTGCCCCTTAAATCCATGGAACCCATTACAAACAAAAGTTTGCTAACCATTGAGATTTTGAAAATGAATATGAAAAGTCGGTGATGGGTTAGAGAGAGAGAGGAGATCAAACAATGGAGATAATGCCTGTAAAAGACAGACAAAAGGATACTAGCTTCAGATTTTACAGCTATTTATATGTAGGCTTTTAGAGGACAAAAACCTTAGAATCCTCCATTTCCCTATTAGAATTTAGAAAGCATCTTTTAGGGATAGAAATGTTAAACGGATGGAGGCATATTTAGGAGAGAGAAAGTGTTGTAGTCATTTTCATTGAGGGAGAGAGAGAGGTTCTTTGGGTGGAGTATACTTTTCGCCATTAATGCTTATCTCTTGTTTTAATTTTTTTTTATTCTGGTGGGGTATGGCTGATCTTGATCATATTTGGTATGGAACTGAGTATGTTCTAGTGTAGAACAGGAACTGGTCAGACTTAGTAGGAACTTTTCAGTTTTATCAATCATTTGAGCACTTCTATCAATAGATTATAATTTGTTTATTTATTAATTTATTTATTTTTTTAACATAAAAAATTATTGATCCAGATCGAAAATCATTGGTTAATCTAAATCAAAAGAACTGAAAGCAGGTCTAATGCCGATTCGAGATTTTAGCCCCATGCATGGATATCATCTTGAAAAGACACACACATAGATAGATAGACAACCTCTTGTTTTCTAAAAATTATTGGGAAACTATCATTATAGGATTAGAACCCTTACAAAATCCTTAAAGAGGTCAAATAATTTTGATTAATATTTAGTAGGGTTGCTTTTGTCATTTTCATTTTACTCAATTACCTCATATAAAAATCTTTAAAAAAATTCAAATTTGCCCCTTATTTTGGGTTGTAAATGATAAACACTTAGGGACGTTTCAATAATTCGACTCCCCAAGAATCTCCAACCGAATGATAAAAATGCCCTTACTTGTTCATAATTTAAAAAAATGACCACACTATTCATGTTCTTATGTTCCTAATGAGGAACAATTAGAGGGTTTCATGACATATACACATGGTATTCGGGTGCCAAATGGAAAAATACCCCTAGCCGTTCCTTTTCAATAATTACGGTTCTTTATTTTTTTATTTTTTTGGATTTTTTAGGGTTAAATTATTTAAATACCCCTAATTATTCATCTTTTTTAAGATGAGACATTTTTTAATATTGTTTTCAAGAGGTATCTGAATTAAATAAAAAAATTAAATTATTAATTAAGATCATTTAATTCTTTTAACAACTTAACCATAGAAATATAAACCTTTTCTCATGGATAATTTTCTAAGGATTTACCCCTTGAATGACCTGCCACCGAACTTATTTTTGAGCAATTTTTACAGTTGTACAAAGTTTAAAGTCTCTATCTTGATGGGGTGGAGAATGAAGAGGTCATTTTCAGGTGAGTAGGATGATGCTTCCAATTTATTTATTTGTTTATTGGGTTTTGTGGTTCACAATTGTTCTTTTCCCACCAACCAAGTGAAAGATGTGTACGGGCGTGACTATATTGCTCGTCTACATAAGCATCACATGTGCATGAGAGACAAAGAATAAGAGACAAAACGATGAGAGCGAAAGCTCAGAGTTTATGACCGTACACGTTATCGTCGTTGTCGCCGTCATTATGTCATGCGAATCTTATCCTAACCGTACACGTATTACGCAATAAAGGATGTACTGTTATGGAGTAAAAGGGCTACAAATTGGACGGACAAACTCAAATGACTCGGCAAATTGTGGGTGAAGATAGTATTTTTTGTTTTGATAGTTATTTAAAGAAAGGTAATATATATATATATATATATATATTTACAAAAATCACTTATAAGTAATCTTATTGCAATAATTCTCGCTTTAAAGAAAATAAAACAGACAAATCTAAAATTTTAAAAACCTTGATGTCATTAAACCAATTTTCTTCAAACAAAAAAATAGCCACAATTCTTATGTTTGTGAATATAAAAATAATATAATTAAATATAACAAAAAACATAAAGAGAGTGCCCCAATTCTTATGCTTAGGAATATAAAAATAATATAATTAAATAAGCAAGAAACAGAAGAAGAATGCCGCATATTACCTCAATTGGGCTTATTACACCTCACACCGAGTCATCACCATCTGATGGTATGGGATCAACGATCAACTTTCAATCTCAACCGGGATACGGGATCAACGATCAACCTTCAATCTGAACCGGGAAAGTAAGTTTAGGTCATATCCTCTAATGGCACTATAAACTCATTTATTACAAATCTCAAACTCTTAGATGAATTTACTTAGCAACCTAGTTTGAAATATATACTTCTCTTTTCTACCACAAACCTATAGTCTAAAACCTCAAGGAGAGGTAAAAGATTATGAGAGAGTTGAGAAAACCACCATGAGAGAGATATCAAATATGATAGAGTGGGGTGTGCCCCTTTGGGTCTCTTGAAAGAGAGAAAGAGAAACTTTATTAAGTAACAGAGATAAATTAAGTGGGGTGTGCCCCCTTTGTGTGATATAAGAGAGAGATGGAAATTAGGTATAAGAGATAAGGTGTAGGGATTTGGGTAGGGATCCATCCGTTTTTATAGTACTTGAACAAGATTAGGGTTTGTTAGGGTTTTCTATGGCTTGTCTCTTCTTGTTAAATTGAATATGAACTATTGATTTTGGGTGATTTGTAGAGTGAAAGATTTGAGTCATCTATTCTATAAATGGGCCATCAACATTATAGAAGGTGCTAAAACATTTATCCTATATTTCTAAACTATTTTCTCATTAATAGAAATTAAATAAAATAATTTCATTTATAATATAATGCTTACCAAAATTATGCACAAGTCTCCTCATGCTTTTTAAAAATCCTTTGAAAGCTACCTCAAGGCAAATATCTTTCCAAAACACTTCAACGTTTTCTCTTCAAGCTAAAGCTTCAACTAACACAAGGAAAATTTCATTAAGGTGGGGCGTGCCACCCTAGGTGGTATTTCATAGGCCCCACCAACATGCAATGGTGGGCCGATTAACATATTGAGCTTCCTATGCAATATTAAAATTAATTATACGATTTTTAAAAATCCATAAAATCAAAATTGAATATTTAAATCAATCTAAAATCAATATCTCTATTTTTATAAATCCAAATTTGATAAATAAAATATCCAGAGATTTAAAAAAATTCAAATAATAATTCTAAAAATCATATATCATTAAAAAAAACATAATTAAATTCATTAGATGGGAAAAATATCCATATGGTCTAGGGATTAAATAATTAACACTACGGCAGTCCACTTTCAACTGTGGACTACGGTCCACATTTGCTTTATCAAACTAACCTAGTGTTTCTCATTACCCACAATCCATGTAGGGGCT